CTGAAGGCAACCACTTTCAGAACACTTCTCTATATTGTTTCTATTTCATCTTCAAAGCTCAGCTGGTCCTTTTGCCCTTCCATTGTACAAGTCTGGTACACTCCTTTCACGCTGAGGTTTGGTTTCATTTATCACACACCACTGCAGGGAAATCAGCAGTTCATCTCTCCCCAGACAGAAACATGCTGATGGAGCTGAATCATTCATGTGAGGCAAAATGGTCCTTAAATTCACAGTGGCTGTGGTAGGTGCAAGGGAGTGTGGACTGTGGACGTGGGTCTTTTTTGTCCAGCCATTTCTGAAGGGCAGCACTGGGCATAAGAGAGAGGAAGAGCTGTATTTCTTTTACCTCTCCACAGAGGGGAGGAAGAGCTTTGTCAGAAAGAGAAGATAACCTGCAATGTGGAAACCTGCTGTAACTTACTATGTCCTCTCCATTTCTGTCTCAAGTAGGGAAAGGTGCATGGTGTCAGATGAGCAGAATTTGTCACAATATCACAATCTGCAGCAGAACTGAAAATCTTAGCTCAGTTTGCTGTTCTTGTACAGGAGAACTTACTGCAGTATTTCTTCAGAAAATTCTGCTTTATTTCTGCTGCTTCAGAATACGAGCTCCTACAAGCATTGAGAAAAGAAAAAGGTGATCAGCCACATTTATCTGAGCAAGAGATCTACCTGAGGGACTAAGAAGTGTTTATACCAAAAACTGGAAGGCAAGATTCTCAGTTACACCAGCTTCATTGCTCCACAAGCCCTTGCAGATGGTTCTAACATGTTTGCTGCACTGTAAATTCCATAAGCCCACCTGATCTGCAACAAAACACATGACCTCTCCATAAATATATGTCACTACAGCAAATCAAGCTGCATTTGCAGGGGAAATGATAACAAGTGTTGTAAATTCAAAATGATTGTCTGTATGGGAAAAATTATGCACACAAGTGATTTCCAAACAAGAGAAAAACTGTCCAGCTGATATTTCAGTAAAAAACATTTCTCACTTCTGCACAGAGGCAGAGGGCTCAAAAAAATCAAAGTTTTAAATTGAGAGCTGGCAGGTGCAAGTCTTAGCACAATTCCCTTCATACAGAATCAAACATATGGCTATTTTTAGTGCTTGAGAGATTGTAGCTTTGCATGTCCTTCTTGAAAAGAAACCCCAAACCACAACATTTCCAAATCTAGCAATGTGTTAAGGAATTAATCGAAGAGGGGCAAGCATGAAAAGGCTAATACAGGTATTACATGTCACCCTAGAATGGTTTGGCCATCTTTAATGAACCATCTTGTTCTGCCTCAAGGTACATTTTACATATGTAGTGATTGTTGAGCTTTGCACCAGGATTAATGCATTAGTGGGAAGGTCTGCATAAATGTAAATACTTAAAAGCTTATGCAGTTGAGATATTATCATGCTTAGAGAGATCAAATCGAGTAGATGCAATCAAGAGACCAAACACATTTCTCCAGAATGTTTTCTAGATAATTTAGACCAGCAAAAAGCATAAGTCATGGTTCATCTGCATGTTATCTCCTAGCTTTCATTGAGCACATCCACCCTCACCTCTCCCCTACAGTAGTTCCCCATCAGTGATCCATGCAGGTTATGTTGATGCAGCAGGGAAGGTCTATGTACAAGAAAAAGGTGGAGCATGTAACTTGTATGTAGCTCACATATCCTGTGAGATGTGTGAGACTTCCACAGTTTTAGGAAGAAAAAGAACTGCTGGCTACAACTCACTCACCACTCCCTTCAAAAGCACTGAGGCATTGGCCAGGTCATAGGTGAGTGCTCCAATCTTCCTACCCCAGGGGAAGGGAATTAACTTAATGTACCTTGCTGACTCCACACAACAGACTGGGAAGCTTCAGCTGCCAGGGGAATGAAAAGTAGATTTGAAGGATTGAAAAAAACAAACCAAAACACAGACCCACACACACAAAACCAAACAAATCCCCCCAAAACAAACAAACAAAAAAAACAGAAGAAGAGTTTTGCAGTTTACAAAGACATTAAATATTGTAGCCCCAGCCTTCAAGTGTAGGTGTAAAGAATGAAGGAATTGACACAATTTTATCTTTTTGTTCCCAGAAGCAAACTGCTGCTGTGGCTTAGGAGAAATAGGACTTTGTCCTAAGTCTGTGAAGATTTATTTAACTTTGAATCTTGTAAATGTCAGCATGTTTGCTCTGTTCTCCTGGAAACACCACACCAACTCCTTCTTCCTTCAGGTATTTTGCTCCCCACAGAATATCAAGCAATTAACATCAGGCAATGTAGCAGCCTGAGATCTGGGACCCATAGAAAATCCCCATGGGGACTGGAAGGGCCTGGGTTTCCCTAGCCAGGGCCCATCCCACAGCACCAAGCACCTCCATCTGGATGGGCTGAGGTCAAACCAGGTATTCAAGATGCAGAGCGAGATCAAGGGCATCCATGGCTGGATTTGTCTGTGGCACAGCTGGAGAAGAGCCGAACTAAGCTTAATTCAGGAAGGGCACAAAAACCTGGGCTGAGCTAAAACTGGGCCCAAGGGCAGCCCCAGGTGGGCAGCAACAAAACTGACCTCCCAGAAGGACTTAGCAAAGGCAACCCCTCCCCTTGATCTATACTGGTAAAGGGCATCTGGTGGGATCAGATATGTAAATGTATTAACACAAGTGAAGTTATTAGATCAATCAAAAGAAAGTAATTGCCTAAATTAAGAATTTCCTCTTCATAAATGTTCTACTCTCACCATGTTGCCCTTGCATGTGGTAAGACAGTTACTATGCATACACATTCCATAACATGATGCTTTTTTAGTTTTCTCTCGTGTTTTCCCAGTACTTGTCAGGGATGAAGTCTGAGCTGTGTCCATAGAAAGATAATCATTCAGGCAGAAATAATAAGGGAAAAAAACCCTGGCTATAGATCTGACCTCTCATGTACTTGGGAAGCTAATTGCAATCAATATCTTCAGCTACACACAATTTACTACAACATGATATGTCTGGCCCATGAAGCAAGTAAAACTGATCCCTGGCAATGGCCATTATTCTTCACACACCACTTTAAGTGACAGTATCAGATTCCCCACAGGTTAGGCCTCTGTGATTTCATACTGAATTACACTTAAACTTACAGAAGGGGGATTTACTGCGGGCAAAACTTCCTACAAGCCACAAAGTGCAGCAGTTTCTGTAGACTGCAATGCAAAATGGGATTTCTCTTGCAGTGAGGAAAAGAGATAAGGAGAAATGCACTGGGGGGGGTGTGTTTGTTTATTTTTGGTTTGTTTGTTTAGTATTTTTGCAGAGATACACCCTTCTGAGAGGCAGGGATCACATCCTGCCCCTATATTTGTGGGAACCTGAACGGCTGAACGCATTATGAAGCCTGTGTTTAGCTGGATCCCTAAACAAGGGATATCCAGTAGGATTTTTGGAGTTTGGCTTTTTTTTCTAGAGGTTTTCAGCAATACTATTTAATTAAATTTAAAAAAAAATTAAATTACTGAATAACTTGCATGCATAAGGAAATGCAGCTGGGCTTTGCTGTATCTACCATTTGGCTTAGTTTACATTACACCACCACATGTACACTCCAGCCTTAGAAAAACAAAGAACAGGTTAGGTCCAGTGCAGCATGGACCTATGGAATTCTCCTAAGAAAACCATTAACTCTGCAATAATGTCCAAGCAAAAAATGTATTTGTAGTCCAAAGCTTGTGTCAGACATAAGGATGCTACAGTTTTAACAGCAATCAAGAACAAATAAAAAAAGAATGGAAAAGAGGCAGAAACATGCCTGGGTTAAAAGTAATCTCTGATAGATAGGAAAGAGACAGTCTGAGACAGGTACATAGTTCAGTTTCAAAGATCTTTGTTCTTGAACAAACAGCACCAGCCATAAGTAAAGAGAAGTATCACACTTAAAGAAGTGAGATTCTGATCTTAGAGTGCAATTACAGTGTATGGGGTTTTTTTCTATTTAAATAAAAGGATTGCAATGAAGTGATTAAAATAATCCCAAGAGAAACCTTGGCCTGCTGATGTTGACTGTTGACCTCAGGGAAAAAGACAATGACCCTCAGTCCAGGCATGGTGACTCAACAAAACCTTTTGCTGCACCGGGAGAGAGAAAAGACAGAAAACCACGTCTTTGCTGTCCGCCCTCCCCTCACTCTCGGGCAGCTCTGGATCCTCCGTGCCACCACACAGATGTTTCAGCCCACCCCACAGGGCTCCATCAACCCTTGGGAGGCATTTCCCAGGTGGGGGATCGGGTTGTGATTTGTGGGGGCTCCCCGCAGGTGAGGGGATCAGGGATGATTTGGGGGGGCTCCCCTTGGGTGAGGGGATCAGGGATGATTTGGGGGCTCTCCGCAGGTGAGGGGATCAGGGATGATTTTGGGGCTCCCCTCGGGTGAGGGGATCAGGGATGATTTGTGGGGGCTGCCCTCGGGTGAGGGGATCAGGGGTGATTTGGGGGCTCCCCTCGGGTGAGGGGATCAGAGATGATTTGGGGGTTCCCCTCGGGTGAGGGGATCAGGGGTGATTTGGGGGGGCTCCCCTCGGGTGAGGGGATCAGGGGTGATTTGGGGGTTCCCCGAGCCGGGACCCCGCGGAGCGCGCCCTGCCCACGCCGCTGTCCGTGGTGCTGAACGCGGCTCCCGGCCCGGGCCCCTCTCATTTCCTCCGGACGAAACGCGGGATTACGGCTGCAGTAATCGGGGCCGGATTAACTCCCTGGAAACCGGCTGCAATCTGAGCAGCTGCAAATGTCCCCCAAACCGGGATATAGGGCGGGATGATGAAGG